GGGGGGGGGGGGGGGGCGAGCAATGTGTGTGCGTATGTAACACACGGCAACTGAACGTACACACGGCTTTTAAATTTTTAACATGCATTTATATCAATTTCTCAATGTAACATACGATTTTAATGCATTGTGAAAATTTTAAAAAGTTAGATAAATAACTAACCCATAGTATCAGTCAGTTGACTACTGCCGTGTGTACGTTTAGTTGCATACGCACACACACATACACACATGTATTGGGTGTTTACGATAATTCGAGTTCGATTTAGTACGAGTTAGTTTCACTAGGACCGAAAGATATGATAGGTACAATCATCTAGTATCTTCATTACCCACACAGCAAGAATATCCCAAATACATCATACGGATATCTTGAAGATATCATATATCCCAAATATATCTTTAGGATATCCCTATGATATATTTTGGATATCTCTGCTATGTGGGTATTCATGACAACTCAATACTGTCCGATAAATCGAGTAGAGTAGAGTAGAGTTAAAGTATGGAATAGTATATGTATAAGAATTAATAATATCAGGTAATATAGTTTTGTAAAATATGTAACAATAATATTATAAAACAATGAGTTATTACATTATAGAAAAATTAGAAGCAAATTAAATTAAATTAAATTATGAAAAAGTATTATGTATTTGTAAAATATTCAAAAGCAGAAACCTATTATTCTAACCTACTATTATACCAAGATATTCTGTTTAGATTGTGTTGTCAATTTTTTAACATATGTTAGAAAATTTTTCTATAATGCTTTCATTAGCTTCTAATTTTTCTATAAAGTAATAACTCATTGTTTTGTAATATTATTGTTACATATTTTACAAAACTATATTACCTGATATTGTTAATTCTTACATATATACTATTCGCTACGCTATCCTAACTCTACTTTACTCTACTCTACTCGATTTATTGGACAGCATTGAGTTGTCATAATGAAGATACTAGATAATTGTGCCTATCATAACGGCCCTAATAAAACTAACTCGTATTAAGTCGAACTCGAATGATCGTAAACACCCACTGCTCGCCCTCCTCCCCTCCGTACGCTCGCCCGCCTGCACGCTCACACACCCCACAGTAGGGACAAATAGGAATTTACTGTTCAAAAATCGTTACAGACCACAATTTTATAGCTATCGAGATTTTTTTTTAATTAAACGTTAATCAATATAGAAAAAACTATCAAACCCGACTTTTTAAAAAATTCTAAATTTTGCAATATTGATAAGAATTTGAAAAAAAAAATATCAAGTTTTGCGAGTCACTTTTCCAATTAGAAAACTTTCCATCTTTTCGCTGCACAGTACAGTGTACTAAGGTTCTCAGCATTGCTGATTACGAATCTCATATAAAAATCAGAATTTGGCAGTTAACAACTGCAAATTTCCTGTCAACACCCTAACGGAACATGTACATTCTGAGAATGTTCAGAGTATATCTGAACAGAATATTACACAGGTCTACAAAAAAAAATTTTCAAAAATTTACTCGGACCGGAGTAGGTTTCCGGTATGTATTTTGAGCCCCTGAATCCGAATCCAGGTCCCGTTTTGCTCCATCACCCTAGGTTTTTTCAAAAATGGCGGATTCAATATGGCGCATGTAGCGTATTTTACTGTTTTCCAACGGATTATTTTAAAACTTCTAACATAAAGGTTTTTGGACTCACTGATTACGAAATTAACATTAGAATTCCGAAATTCAAGATGGCGGATGCAATATGGCGGACCATAGTAGTAAATTCTGATTTTTTAAGA